TTGATCATCAATTGCATCCCCACCCTGGGGATTTTGATCAGCATTTTGGCCCCAAGTTGGGGCAATTTGAACCAATTAACCTTTATTAATATAGTATTTATTGCAATTTATTGCAAAATAGTGGGGCATTTGACCGATATTTATTGCCCGACGGTGGGGCATTTGATTGAAAATTTGCTCAAAAAGTCAAATGCCCCACCTATGCCCGACCCCCCCCCCTCTGGGGCTTAACATTGATAGGTGCATTAGTATACTGCAAATAACTATTCTATCAACAAGATAATGTGTGTGTTTTACAAGTGTTTTTTATATATCAATCCAATGGCATGTAACCTAAAATTCAGCAGTGTCTGTGTAATGAAATACACCCTAACTTCTCAAATATGGTCAAATTAACTATACTACATTGTGCATAATAATATATGGACTGGTTCAAAAATATATTGAATTTATATTAGTGAACTTGACTGAACTGGTGAACTATTGATGTAGAGATTATGCCAAGTATAGAATGGCACAAGGACTTTCATGTTATCAGCATGATTAAATCGTGAGATTGTGCAAATAATCTTGGTAAATCTCTTACAGATATCCTCAGCAGCTACATTTTAAGGTAAAATGACTATGGTAAAGCTATTCAAGGCAAAAAAGCAATGGATCTGTCAACCTCGTTGTCAACAGTAAATTTAGCTAAGTTTATGATCCAGTTATTGCCGTATTTTAGCTGAGAATTCATTTAAGACAATGCAATACGATAGACTTACCTTTGAATTTATCATATATTCTTTTAAAATGGTCACCAAAGCTCTAAAACTCGATTGGTATCGTTTTAACTTCCTCACTCCTTAATGTTTACATGTAAATTTGTCAAATTACAGGTTATTAAGCCGTGTAGCAAAGCACAGAACACGTCACAAGTAATATACAAAATTATTCTGGTTATAAATAATATATGGTAATTATACAAACTATGTCTTACGTCATCTATAACGACTCTGAATGCCATACGCCAAAATGATGTACGTTTTTGGCTTTTTATCCATCTGCCAGAGCGCCAGTTTGCCAGAGCGCCGGCAGTTTTGCCAGAGCGCCAGTTTGCCAGTTTTGCCAGAGCGCCAGTTTTGCCAGAGCGCCAGTTTTGCCAGAGTGCCAGTTTCGCCAGAGTGCCAGTTTCGCCAGAGTGACAGTTTCGCCAGAGTGCCAGTTTCGCCAGAGCGCCAGTTTGCCAGAGTGCCAGTTTTGCCAGAGCGCCAGTTTTGCCAGAGCGCAAGTTTTGCCAGAGCGCCAGTTTCGCCAGAGCGCCAGTTTACTAAAGTGCTAGTCAGTTTTGCCAGAGCGCCAGTTTGCCAGTTTTGCCAGAGCGCCAGTTTTGCCAGAGCGCCAGTTTTGCCAGAGCGCCAGTTTTGCCAGAGCGCCAGTTTTGCCAGAGTGCCAGTTTTGCCAGTGGCAAGTAAAGGAATTCGCTGCTTTTCTTTCAAACCATATCGTATACTGAACTTAACTAAACGTACTGCTTTGTTTCAGAGAATTAAAACAGAAATTACTTTGACGCAAAAGAAAATGCTGACTATATTGCGATATAACATTCGGCAAAACCAGTAATCGGCCCGAATAATCGTTGTGTGCAAACGTAGCTTAATGCGACACTAAATTAAATTAACAATTCAGTATATAGTCGAGTATATATATATAGTCGCATTATC